TTATTTTCATACTTTCATATTATTATTAATATTAATATGGTTATTGTTATTGTTATTAATATTAATATGCTTAATATTATTATTATTAATATGGTTATTATTATTATTATTAATATAGTTGTTATTATTATTATTATTATTAATATGGTTATTATTATTATTATTATTATTAATATGGTTATTATTATTATTATTATTAATATAGTTGTTAGTATTATTATCATTATTAATATGGTTATTATTATTATTATTATTATTATTATTATTATTATTATTACCATATATTAAAATTATTAAATTGATATAAAAATATCATTTGTTTAGTTAATATAATAAATATTTACTAAAAGATCTTTATTATGGGGATGGTTATATAATAATAGTGTACATCATCTAAGTGTTATATTGTTAAAAGTATATTTACTTTTTAATTAAATTATACATTTAATTATTAAATATTTGATTATATTATAGTAAAATGAATTTCAATTTAAATTATATTAAAATGTCTTGATTTAATCTAATTAAACATTAAAGAATAAATCATAAAATTCCCATAAATAATATCAGCTCCATTAAATAACACAATTAGACATTTTAATAACAGTTAAATGCAATAGACTGATTATATCAGCATATAACACTTGCTAACAGAGTTGTGATATAAACAAAATGCTATTGGCTGTTATTTTTAAAAGGAGGAAGAGCTACTTTATGCCCTGTCTGCATGCTTTAATTGACATTACATCAAGCAATAATGCACATTTCAATGCATTTTACTGGCACTTTACATACAGATGTCTCTCTCTGTCTCCCACACACAAGCTCTTACATTCACACACACACACACTCTGCATCAGTGATGTTTGTTGCTGAAATGCGGTGGGTTTTTCAGGCTGAGGATGTGAACAGGACTCTGGAAGGGGGCCGAAAGCCGCTACATTACGCAGCCGACTGCGGTCAGGCCGAGATGCTGGAGTTCCTGCTGTCCAAAGGAGCCGACGTCAACGTAATTATCCTTCACCCACACACACACACACTGGCTCCCTGTGAGTGCAGATGAATATCTGCTCCTGCATGTAAATGTGTAGCATGTGGAGTCCCGCTTCACTGATAACATCACAGCACTGACTGTAACTCAAGCTGAATCCACACACACACACTCATCAGACTTTATCAAATAAATGCAAGGTAAAATAAAAAACATCTCACTGTTAAACCACATTAAACTATTTCTTCTTGCAGACTGCAGAAATAAACATGTTTAATATTTGCTTTATTATATTATTTATTCTATTTATATTAATATAGAAGCTCATGTTAATCGATGTAAAACCCATCTACAATCCTCAAGCTGCTAACAAAATGCTGAATTATTATTTATTATTATAAGATCATGTAAAATATGTATATAATAAATAATAATCTAGAAAATGATTAGGTTGTAATTAATATATCCTGCGATGTGACTATTGTGATAATGATCGCATTGCCATATCGATGCTGAAACTGTTTCATATTTTAAGATATACACCACTTTAGGATTAAAATATAAATAGATATGGTAATAATAATACTAGACTATATACTGCCACAGACTCTCTTTCTCTCTGTGTGATTGACTGATTTAATGTGTTGTGTTTTTTGGCAGGCTCCAGATAAACATGGCATCACTCCGCTGCTGTCGGCCACATATGAGGGTCACGTCACCTGCGTCAAGATCCTTCTGGAGAAGGTACATACAGCTGTGTGTGTGTGTGTGTGTGTGTGTGTGTGTGTGTGTGTGTGTGTGTGTGTGTGTGTGTGTGTGTGTGTGTGTGTGTGTGTGTGTGTGTGTGTGTGTGTGTGTGTGTGTGTGTGTGTGTGTGTGTGTGTGTGTGTGTGTCTGAATCTCTACCGTCGGGCATTATTTGCGCTGTGCTGAGGTGTGTATTGTGGCAGTGAGAGAAAGAGCTTTTTGTCTGGTGGGTTTTAAAGCTGAAAGCGTCTGAACGGAGGCTGTAAACAGTGGCGTGTGCGGGGTCAGGCTGGGTTATATAATGCTGAGCTGGACGCTGCGCATTCTTCACTCAGAGAATCCCTCTCAGATTACACACACACACACACACATCTCCTCGGGGCCGCTCGGATGCGTTTGTGTTGAAATATTCCTGCTTATTCTGCCGCTGAAATCCCTTCGGATCAGTTCACAAGTGCTGTGTTGTTTTTTCTAGTGCTGTGGTGAAACATTGAAGATTCTGTCCTCTGGTTCAGAATGAGAGGCCTGTTGGTTAGTTTTAAAGTGGATGTATGAGTAATTATGAAGCAATAAGAATATTTTGTAGCTATTAAAAGCATATGCACTTTTATTTATTTATTTATTTAATAATTAGTCCTCTGGTTCAAGGCCTGTTGGTTAGTTTTAAGGGGATGTTGGCTGATATTACTTGTTCATTTACAAAATATTAAGAAAGTATAATGGGATATTAATGATTCTGAAGCCATATTAACGGCTATTAAAACAAATTCACTGCTTGCATATGTATTTTTTATTTATTTATTCATTTAAAAAAAAATCTTGGTCTTCAGGTTCAGAATGAGAGGCCTGTTGGTTATATTTCAAAGTGGAAGTTGGCCAATAAATGTAGGCTTTACTTATTCATTTACCAAATATTACAAGGGAATAATATTGTGTATGTAGGGATGTGAATATGTTTAGTTATTCAGATTAATAATGTGCAGCTGTGGTAAAAGTAAAGCTTTATTAGTTGTTCAGATGTTGGAGAAACACACATGACTCTCGCAGATGGATGAGCGATACATCAACACTTCCTCTTTTCAGATATTAGGAACTAAAACTTCTATAATTACCTTCAGATATTTGCTGTCTGATAAATATTGTTATTTTAGTTTTATTATGTAACAGTTTGCAGGGTTGTGTGTGCTTTTCATTCTTTATAGACTTGTTCTGTTAGGGCTGCTCGATTATGGGAAAAATCATAATCACGATTATTTTGGTCATAACTGTAATCACGATTATTCAAAACGATTATCAGTTAAAGTCAAAATTATTAGCGCTCCTGAGAATTTAGTCTTTTTAAATAACTATTTCCCAAATTATGTTAAACAGTACATTTTAACAGTATTTCCTCTAATATTTTTTTTTCTTCTGGTGAAAGTCTTATTTGTTTTATTTTAGCTCAAATAAAAGCAGGTTTAAATATTTTGAAACCCATTTTAAGGTCAATATTATTAGCCCCCTTATGCAATATATATTTTGATTGTCTGCAGAAGAATCTACTGTTATACAATGACTTGTCTAATTACTCTAATTAAGCCTTTGAATTGCACTTTAATCTGAATGCTTGTATTTTGAAAAACATCTAGTAAAATGTTATGTACTGTCATCATAGCAAAGATAAAACAAATCAGTAATTAGACATGAGATATCAAAACTAGTGTGTTCAGAAATAAGTTTAAAAAATCTTCTTTCCATTAAACGGAAAATTAATTTCTCGTCGTTTGATTAATGATAAAACAGGCGGCAGCATTTCGCACTGTCACTTTAATGGTTTCTCTGTCACGTGTCTTTTGATTCTCAACTCGTGTTTATTATGCAAATGAGGGTTAATATGAATAATCACTAATCACTGCGTTTTGACACCTATTTGACTATTAAAGCGCTCACGTTAATGACTTTAGATGTCTGCGCTCCTCTGCTCGTCTCCGAGACCGAATGCTGACCGCCTGCTTATGTGTGTGCGCGTGTTGCACACACACATAAGCACGAAGTCTTTCGCGCTTTTAGTATATGATGCAGTAATCGTTTATCTGGATTAATGGTTTTTCAAAATCGTTAGGAGCCATAATCGAAATCGGATTTTCGATTAATTGCACAGCCCTATGTTCTGGACAAAGTGAATGTGTTTTATTTTCCTGCAAAATCCATGAAAATGTTTGTCGACTCTTTAAATTATGGGAAGTAGTTAGTAAATATGTTTCCAAATGGGTTCTGATATGCAAATTTACCTTCGGTCAATATTCTTGAGCTCACGGTAGAGGTGATGAACAGCTGTGGTTTAATCTGTTAGTGTGAATAAACAGATTGATTCATTTGTGTTTAATCTGTTGGTGTAAATGAACAGATTGATTTATTTTTGTTTAATCCGTTAGTGTGAATGAACAGATTTATTCATTTGTGTTTAATCCATTAGTGTGAATGAACAGATTGATTCATTTGTGTTCAATCTGTTAGTGTGAATGAACAGATTGATTTATTTGTGTTTAATCCGTTAGTGTGAATGAACAGATTGATTCATTTGTGTTCAATCTGTTAGTGTGAATGAACAGATTGATTTATTTGTGTTTAATCCGTTAGTGTGAATGAACAGATTGATTCATTTGTGTTCAATCTGTTAGTGTGAATGAACAGATTGATTTATTTGTGTTTAATCCGTTAGTGTGAATGAACAGATTGATTCATTTGTGTTCAATCTGTTAGTGTGAATGAACAGATTGATTTATTTTTGTTTAATCCGTTAGTGTGAATGAACAGATTTATTCATTTGTGTTTAATCCATTAGTGTGAATGAACAGATTGATTCATTTGTGTTCAATCTGTTAGTGTGAATGAACAGATTGATTTATTTGTGTTTAATCCGTTAGTGTGAATGAACAGATTGATTCATTTGTGTTCAATCTGTTAGTGTGAATGAACAGATTGATTTATTTGTGTTTAATCCGTTAGTGTGAATGAACAGATTGATTTATTTGTGTTTAATCCATTAGTGTGAATGAACAGATTGATTCATTTGTGTTCAATCTGTTAGTGTGAATGAACAGATTGATTTATTTGTGTTTAATCCGTTAGTGTGAATGAACAGATTGATTCATTCTTAGGTGCTTCAGATGTAAATCAAACTTTGCCACATGTGTGAGGATGAATGATTCTGTTCACTTGTGTGAATGAACAAATTGAGTCATTTGTGTTTGAAGACTCAGATTTGTATCAGACTTTGCTGCGTGTGTGAGGAGAAATCATTTTATCTGTTGGGGTTAATGAACAGATTGATTCATTTGTGTTTGAAGACTCAGATACGAATCAGACTTTATTAGATGCATAAACATAAACCTCTCAGATGTGAATCAGACTCAGTTTGTAAAGGAGAATTGTTTGATCTGTTGGTGTGAATGAACAGATTTGATTCATTTGTGTTTGAAGACAAGATGTGAATCAGACTCTGCTTCGTGTGTAAAATAGAATCATTTAATCTTTTTGTGTGAATGATTTGATTCATTCATTTGTGTTTGAAGACTCGGATACAAATCAGACTTTACTATGTGTGTAAAGATAAATGATTCAGTTCACTTGTGTGAATTGGACTGTGTAAAGATGAATGATTCAGTCCACTGGTGTGAATGAACAGATTAATTCATTTGTGTTTGAAGACTAAGATGTGAATCAGACTCTGCTGTGTGTGTAAAGATGAATCATTTAATCCAGTGGTGTGAATGAACATATTGATTCATTTGATTTGTAGACACAGATGATGTGAATCAGACTCTGCTTTGTGTGTAAAGATGAATCATTTAATCTGTTGGTGTGAATGAATCAATTGAATCATTTGTGTTTGAAGACTCTGATATGAATCAGACTTTACTATGTGCATAAAGACGAATCATTCAATCTAATGGTGTGAATGAATCAATTGATTCATTTGTGTTTGAAGACTCTGATATGAATCAGACTTTACTATGTGCATAAAGACGACTCATTCAATCCACTGGTGTGAATGAACAGATTGATTCATTTGTGTTTGAAGACTCTGATGTGATTCAGACTTCTCTCCGTGTGTAAAGATGAATGATTCAGTCCTCATCCAGCGAGTGGATCAATGTGGCGCATTGATCGTGTGGAGGATAATATTTGTGTAAAGGGCTTGAGGCCGGTCGATGGTCTTGTGTTAAAGACTCCCTGTAGAATATGCATGAGACTCTCTGTTACTCAATAATGCCGTAATCGGCTCTTATGGTCAGGTGACGTGTGAGCTGGAAAGGTGATCTGCTGTAAACTGTTCTGTTGTTTATCTTGAATAATGGTGGGGTCGAGTGTAATCCAGCAGAGCTAACAGCACCGTCAAGAATCCTGGCTAATATGGCAGATTTGTCCAGTGTCATGCAGCCCTCACCCTGCTAACTGTGTTGTGTGTTTGTGTTTCTCCAGGGCGCCGATAAGAACCGGAAAGGTCCGGATGGTTTGAGTGCGTTCGAGGCGGCTGAAAGCGAAGCCATCAAAGCTCTACTAGAGTGAGCAGACGCTGCCGGCAGCGGAGAGGTTCTGACCACTGGATCCAGCAAACACACACTCACATACACACACACACACACACCTCTCTGTATCTGCCCGCTGGCTGCATCAGATCCTCTAGGTTTCCTTTTGTTTGTTCTCCTCCATTTTTTTATTTTATTTTAGGGGAGGTGCTTAATTTCCCCTCTAGTTTATAAGAGTCAGTCATTGGCTGATGGACCTGTCACTCATGCCTACGGACCAATGGGAACGCCTGTCTAACACCACTAACAAAAAACATGGACTTTAGAGTTCAGACTACAGCGCAGATTCTGTGAGCGAGTGTATGATGATGATGATGATGTGTGTGTGTTGTTTTTCAGACTGTTAAAGGTGCAAATGCAATTAGACGTCGGAAAAAAAAAAAAAGAAACTCTAGCTGATGAATTTCCCTACACTCCGCTTCCCTCCTCCAGCGCTCCGACATTACCGTCACATTGTAGATGCTCAAAGAACAAATATTAGACTTCAGACGCTCGAGTCGTTCTGCTGACGCACACACTCGCTTCTCCGCCCCTTTGAATTTGTGTTGTTGTGGCAAAAATAAATGAATTGTCAGCTGCTGTGCGCTTGTAGAGTGTTAAACAGGTGTGCTCGGACGGGGGGGACGCCAGTTCTCTCTCTCCTTCTCTCTCTCTCTCTTTATCTCTCTCTCTCTCTCTTGCTCAATTCAATTCAAACTTGTTTAATTGGCATTATAAATGTTACAAATGCATTTCTAAAGCATTTCTAATGTTTACATTAAATAAAAGCAAATTGCATAGCAGTAGTGACAGCTTAATAATAAACAATGCATTAATAGTAAGCAGTTGGTTCTCTCAAAAACAGCTTTCTCCTACTCAATTCTATTCAAACTTGCTTAATTGGCATGACAGATGCTTGTTTCAAAGCATTTGTAATGTTTAAAATAAATAGTACCTATGAAAACTAATGACAAAACAGTAGTGATGAAGAAATAATAATGAAAATACAGTAATAATAAACAGTTGGATCCCCCCCTCTCTCTCTCTCTCTCTCTCTCTCTCTCTCTCTGCATGATGGTGTTTAAGCTTTTCAGTTCAGTCGATTTGCTCCGACCTGCAGATGAACATTTTAAACATCCATATCCGGCATTGTTGTGGAAATAATAAGTCCGTTTGAAAACAACAAATCAAATAAAACAGTTTCAAATTGTGCATTTCTGATGGCTGATTTTGTCACGTGTTGATTAAACCGAGATGCATGATTTGTGATTTCCAAAACGATTTTAATTTTGTAGCGTGAAGAAAGATTACAGCTTAATTTTTAATTAATTACAGCTTTATTTTTCTAGCGCTTCTACAATGTAGATCGTGTCAAAGCAGCTGAACACAGAAGTTGTTGTAAATGTAAACCGTGTTAGTCCAGTTTTCAGAGTTGAAGCTCAGTTTAGTTCAGTTTAATGTTACCGGTTGAACCTGAAAGTGACGATGAGGTCTCAAAATGTATGTAAACGTCTTAAAAGGTATTGAATTACACTGATATATATCCTGTTTTTCCTTATTTAAGACTGAAATTTGATTCAACAAAAACAATTTAGGCAGCTTTTTACTGTGGAAGTAAGCTTGAATTGAATGGACTAGAATAGAGCAGCTTGAACAGTCAGCTACATGTCTTCTTTTGTGAGCTGAAGTTCAGTTTAGTTTAATAAGTCCAAACACTGAAGAGCAGATCCATCGATGCGCAGCTCCACAAGTCCCAAACCAAGCAAGCCAAAGGCAACTTTTCTAAATGCTCAAAAAACGAGTATGACGTGTCTAAGCCTTTGCGTTCAGTGCCTGTTTTACATCCACCAGCTTTAAAGTGCATTTTGGATTATTGCATAAAGAAAGCTTAATGGAAAGCCAAGATGTGCATCGTTTCTGAAAACGTGCAAAAAAAGAAAATGCATGCACACGATTGAGTAGGATAAACATTTTAATCATCAAGAAAAATGTTCATGAACACATTTAGTGAAATGCACATCAGTCTGCGTGATGTAGTTTAGTTTAAAATAGATAAAAATGTGCATGAATGGAGTTGCAGCACGTTTCCAGCACATTGTAAAAGATCTGAAATGATGTTTTGCAGATTCTAAAAGGCCTCAGCCGTCAGTCCGTCATCACAGTGCTTCAGTATTATTATTATTATACTATTATTCCCGAGTGTGACGCGATTGGGATGAGAATCAGCACCTCCAAGTCTGAGGCCATGGTGCTCCACCGGAAAAAGGTGGTTTTCCATCTCCAGGAGGAAAGTTCTTACCCCAGGTGGAGGAGTTCAAGTATCTCTGGGTTTTGTTTTCAAGTGAGGGAAGGATGGAGCGTGAGATTGACAGGCGGATCGGAGCCGTGGCAGCAGTAATTCGGTCGATGTACCAGTCCGATGTAAACAAGAAGCCTAGCAGAAAGGCAAAGCCCTCGATTTACCGCCCATGCTCCATTCCTACTCTCACTTATGGTCATGACTGAAAGGACAAGATCTCGGATACAAGCGGCCGAAATGAGTTTCCTTCGCAGGCTGGCAGGGCACACCCTTACAGATAGGCTGAGGAGCTCTGACACCCGGCAGTAGCTCGAAGTAGAGCCGCTGCTCCTCCACATCCAGAGAAGTCAGCTGAGGTGACTCGGGCATTTGTTTCAGATGCCTTCTAGACGCCTACCTAGGGAGGTGTTCCAGGCATGTCCCACTGGGAGAAGACCCAGGATGGAGGCACTATGTCTCACGACTGGCATGGGAACGCCTCAGGATCCCCTCAGAGGTGCTGGAGGGAGTGTCTGGGGAGAGGGAAGTCTGGGGTTTTCTCCTAAGACTGCTGCCCCCGTGACCTGGCCGCGGGAAACCGGATGAAAATGAGTGAATATTATTATTCCCTCCAGAACTGTCTTGAGCATTTGTCTGCACTCCCAAAAAGCATGTCACGCCTCCTAAAGCCACCGCGTTCACTGCCTTTCTTCTTCATCTTCTTAGGTGCAACTCATTTATTAGAGAAGACAAACACCACAGTGGCGGTTACCTGCTGAAGTTCCTGGAGGGATGGGAGACCACATGGGAGAACTAGGTTACTGTTGGAAGTGGTGTTAGTAAGGCCAGCAGGGGGTGCTCAACCTGTGTTCTGTGTAAGTCCTAATGCCCCAGTATAGTGAAGAGGACACTATACTGTCAGTGAACGGGTGAGCAGGATGTTAAACCGAGGTCCCGACTCTCTGTGGTTATTAATAATCCCATGGCATTTCTGGTAGAGAGTAGGGGGGTAACCCCGGTGTCCTGGCCAAATTCTCTCTATCAGGCCTCCCAATAATCCCCATACACTGAATTGGCTCAATCACTCTCTCCACTTCACCTATAGCTGGTGTGTGGTGAGCGCACTGGTGTTGTTGTCCTATGGCTGCCATCACATCATCCAAGTGGAGCTGCACACTGGTGGTGGTGTGGAGAGACTCCCCTCATGATTGTGAAGTGCTTTGGGTTTTTGGTCATACACAATAAGTGTGCTATATACATTACATAGACTACATTTCTCTGGCTCGTATTTGGCTTCAGTTTGCCAGGAAGTGATGATTTTGTTCTCCTTTACTCATTGAATGCGTTATTCACAGAAGTTTTATGCAATATTCCAGTTTTGCACATAAATCTAGTTTGCATGTTTGGATGGACACATCACTATTGACTTCCAGGGGTGACAACCCTGTTCCTGGAGATCTACCTTCCTGCAGGTTTCAGTTGCAACCCATATCAAACACACCTGCCTGTAATTATCAAGTGCCGTTCAGGTCTTAATTAATGGGTTCAGGTGTGTTTGATCAGGGTTGGAGCTGAACTGTGCAGGAAGGGAGATCTCCAGGAACAGGGTTGAGCACCACTGACTTAAACACATCAGTCATCTCTGCTGGGATTGTGACCGTTTCTTCTTCAGTCTCTTCCACAGTTCACCCACCAGACAGACTTTTTCACACCAAGGATGACCCAGAGGCCTTTCAGTCAGGTTTAGATCAACTTTGAGCGTATGCCAGAATAAATTGTGCTTATTTATCATGATTAGGCCCACACTGAATCTGCATGTGCAGAAATCTGCAGATGTTTAGCTCATCATCGAGTCTGATTAATTACTCGTGTAAATGTTCGTAAACTTGCATTTATTCAGTTTTTAAATTAATTACAGTGACATAATTGACTAATATGAAAATATTCACATGATTTAATCACAATACAGTTTGTATAGTCAAATTTTCTGTCTTTCAGTAGAGATACTACATGAGAGACTTGCTTTGTTTACCAAGTACATGGATCTAATTGAATTTGCATTGTAGACATTAAATAAAAGTTAAGAAGCTATTATTTTTATGTCATATATTAAGCTTTTAGTTATGATTTGCAGATTCTGTCTGGCCCTAATCATGATGAGGATTTAAAGTTGTTTAACTAAGTCAATAGTTTAAGTTGAATATGTTTATTTACAGCTACACACGTTCTGCTGTCAAGTTTGCTTTTTTAATAGATCCCAACCTTTGCGCAGGAAGCACATCTCCTCGTCTGTTTTGTGTGTTTATAAGTGAAGCTCCAGGACTGGAATACACACGTGCACCTTTGATCAGTAAAATGAGCCTTGGAGTTTCTCCTCGGCGATGGATGTAGGTTTGCTCACTGATGCCCAGACTGACCACTGAGACTCTCCACATGATCCTGCTTTTGCCTCAAGTGACTGATTGATATTGTGAAAGTGAATACTGTATAATTCACAGATGTGGAAGCTTCTCCTCTACGTCTGAAAGGGAATCTGGTCATCCTGCTCTCTGAGGCTTTCAGTCACTTCCCAGCAAATCATCAGAGTCTAAAGAAATTTCAGCTCCAGTTGAGTTTTTCAGGTAATGAAGGAAATTGCCAGTGGGAGATTTTAGGATTTAGAAGTTGATGTTGTTTATATACAGTTGAAGTCAAAATTATTAGCCCTAAAATTAAGTTTTGACAGATAAAGGAGTTTAATAACAGTAAATATAATTAACAGTAGTTTCTTTTTCTGAAGAAGGACTCATTTGTTTTATTTCAGCTTGAATAAAAGCAGTTTTTAAACCCATTTTCAGGTCAATATTATTGGCCCCTTCAGCAATATTAGTTGTGGATAGTCTCCAGAACAAACCACTGTTATACAAGGACTTGCCTAATTACCCTAACTTTACCCTAATTAACTTAGTTAAGCCTTTAAATGTCACTTTAAGCTGAATACCAGTGTCTTGAAGAATATCTAGTCTATTATTATGTGCTGTAATCATGGCGAAGAGAAAAGAAATCAGCTATTAGAAATGAGTTATTAAAACGTATGTTCAGAAATGTGCTGAAAAAATCTCTCCATTAAACAGAAGTAAATATACAGGAGGGCTAAAAATTTTGACTTCAACTGTATGTGTGTGTTTTATGTCAAAGTGTGTGAGAGAATGTGTGTTTTTATGACATATCAGGACACAAACTTGTATGACACTCTTATGGTACGTATTACAAGAAGGTGACTTGTGAGGACATTGCTTATGATTTTGTTATTCAACATTCATTTCAAGTAGTGCGAGTTATGTATTAATAATACTTTTCTAAGTAACGAGTAAAGTAACGCATTACTTTTCAAAATTAATTTATAATATTAGAGTTACTTTTTTGTTTAATTAGCTTTTAAATAAATTGCTTAATTAAAAGTAGTCGTCAGTTAGAGAATGCTCGTTATTTTGAACACATCGTAGAAAAGGAAAAGGGGATTGTAGTCTCAATGGACAGGGATTTAACTTAAGACAAATAGTGCAAAGGTAGCAAACACATTGCTTTAAACTTTCAATAATCTGTATATACAGCATGTACTGTATAGCTCTGGGGTCAGGAAGTTCTCAGATAACATCCTTAAATACACATTTTTGATGAGTTTTTTAGGTAAATGAAGGTTATACAGTGTTGTTTTTATTTATTTATTTATTTGTACAGGGACAATGTACAACATGACATGTTGTGCCAGAGTTAGCTATAAAGCTAATTTATATCTGTTGTTAACTGCAGAGCTCCTCTATTTAAAAAAGATCAAGAGATCAAGCCTCAGCCAGGTAATAAAAAGTAACACTAAAGTAACGTCAGGGCTGTGCAATTAATTTAGATTCGATTTCGATTCTGGCTTCTAACGATTATGAGAAATCATTAATGG